TTGGTGTTTTTATTATGCAGGCTCTTCATGTGTGCATAGATGGAGGAGGGTGTCATCAGCTTCGCGGTAACAACTGCACAAGTAGTGTTTTACTTATTCCAAAGCACAACTGAACATCACTACACAGATCAATATTTGACCAATTTAAAAATATAATCAATGAACTGGGTCCACAGAAAGTTTCTGTTATGGCCAACAGTGAAGCTAAGATAAAAGGAACGTGGCTTTTTATTGATCAATGAGAATCCACGCCAGCTTTTTTTGGTGATGATTAACATCTGACAACTTTCTCCTCTCGTGCCAAAAATTAAGATGGTTAAGTTTTACACAAAGCAAACAAATACCAGCAGCCATTTTTTCCAACATTATATAAGTACAGCACACAGTGGCATCTACATTGAGTAAGCCTTGCTAATATTCAATGGATAACTTCTATTATAAATGTCTCAAACATCTTAAAATATTCAAGAAGTCTCTTCACTCAGTGGCTGCTGAAGAAGGGATGTCTGTGTGCACCTCTCAGTAATCCAACCTGAAATTTTTGATTATGCCTGTAGGATATAGAACTTAAAATTAATTTAATTGCTTGAATCTGAAACTCAAGTCCATTTGGAAAATGAAAATTGATGACTCATACTGGCTGATGCCAAGAACATGTTTCTGGACATTAAGAAACATATTTGTGAGATATTGAACAAAATCCATTTGTAAAATACAAAGAGGGAAAAAAAATCAACTGTTCTTTTTTTAATCCACACTTCTAGCATCAAGAGCTTTCTGGTGAATTTGACCCAATTTGAGATTTCAGAATGTCTGCTGAAAATAAAAGATATAAAAACAATACAGTTCTGATGGAGGTAGCAATTTCCTTTTAAGCATCAGATTGCTCAGTCATAAACCTATGTTGAGTGCAATCCCAGCAGATGAATCAAAACATCTTGTTGCTTTCTTGTAGAAAAGGTCATGTCCTAGAACTCTAGGTACAGTGACAGAAATTATTTTAACACTTCTGTGAATTACACCTTCAATGGAACAAAATTGATCAACTTGGGAAGTCATTCATTTTAAGTCATTCAGAAATAAATAGACTGAAGACCTCCACTGCTGGGAAGTTGGTGACTGTGTATCACAATTTAAGAAAATGGCACATGAAGAGTTGATTCAATATTGAGCAGATGAAGAGGAAGGAGATACTGATGAATTTGATGAGAATGATAAACATATGGATGAAGCACTGAAGCTCAAAGATTATAATGAAAAGCAAGATATGAAAAGCTGGTCTGATGTCTATCTGACGTAAGTGCATTTAAAAGTGACTTTAAAATAAATTGCTATGATTTATTTCTATTTTATTTTATTTTTCCTTTTTATAACTGTTCAGTCTTGAACAATCACATTAAAATGTTAATCTAACTGCTAAAAATAAGAAAAAAATCTAATTTTAGGACCATACTTCATTATTGCATTTTTTCTGAGTTAAAAAGTGTCTTAACTAAGTTACTCAGCACTATCTAAGGCTAAGCCTACAGGACTATTAAGTTTTACCTTTTATTTATTATTGTACTAATAAATAAGAGCTTTAAAATATTTGATCATTTTTTACATTATTTGACAAGTCAATAGACCAATTATTTTTGGATCAGTCAAATGCCCAGCCGTAACTTTTTATTAGGAATATAAAAAGTGCCTGCCCAGTCCCAGGGAGAAGGCTTCTTGGCAGCAGGGGGCTCTGCAGCTGGTGCCCCAAGAGTGAGGATCAGGGAAAACAGCATGTAACCTGCAGGGCAGGGGGAAGGCCAACCAGGCCCACCACAGACAGGGCCTGCTCCAGAGGGCCCCAAGGGGCTGGAGTAGTCCCTTGCTCAGGAGGGCAGGGAGCTGCTCCAGCCCCTATGAGTTAACCAGAACCAGTAAGCCTCACCCATTAAGGGATGAGACTTATTGTTTAACCGGTTAACCTTTTACATCCCTACTTTTTGTATCTCTTGGAAGCTCATGGGTCCATTTCAAGTCTCTGCCATATTTCATCCGGCTTGTCACACACCGAAATTCACCTTGATTCCACTCAGTCAATCTATCACTAAGTTTCTTTCCTAATATGTGACTGCCTCACAGATTTGAGTAAAACAATTTATTTCCAGACTATCAGATCTATATTCTGGATCATGTTCTATCTTCAGGAATCCCACATGCCTGTCACGGCATTGTTCAATTACCTTCTCAAATATGGGGCTGGAATACATGCCGTTGTCCTTCCTAGGGCTTGCCTCCTGCTCCTTCAAATCCTTAAGTATTTCTGCTACTCCAACTGCAGTTCCTCAGCCTCAGGTTATTCTTATCCCTTCCCATGATCCTGGGGCTTCCTGTAGTTCCAGTGATTCCTTCCCCATTGCTCCCCAGGAAAGGTACACAATTCCTGTCTCAAAGTTTTTAAATATAAAATGGACCTAGTCTTCACTTCATCCAGACCAGCTCTCTCCTTGCTGGAAACCTATTTCCCTGTCAATCAGTCTGCTTTGGCAATTGCTCTCCAAAGTAGCTGGTCTTGCTCCTTAACAACCATCCAGCCTATCCAGAGTACATGGATGCTTAGACCAAAGACTTCTCCACTGGTTCAATCCTTGGTAATCTCTGCTCTTGCAAGTGATTTCTAGCTCCTTTCCTCTCTCCCAAACAGGTCCAACATCTGGGTAATTAGTGGAATGTGTTATAAGTAACCTCACTCACTGAAAGCAGACGATCAAGTCCTAGCCCAGACTCCTTCAGTGTAGGATGTAAGTGAAGTACTCTGCAATTATTCTGTACAAGTATGCATGTCTCTCAGATAAGCTGCAGAATAAAGGCTCCAACTGCTTATAAAAAGCTCTGGTATTCCTCCCTGCAAAGCGTGTATCTACATCTGTAGTCTGTCTCTCCTTACCAAACTGAGCACAAGTCAAACACTTCCATATGTTTCAGTCAGTAAAAGGGGGCATGAGGGATTCATCTGCCTTCCTCACTGGCAGATTCTCCTTCCATTTTTATTGTGCCCCAGAAAGCCCAGGTTCTCTCCGGGTTCAATAGAAACATTGTTTTGTCCCTCAGGGCAGGTTTCATCTTCATGTTGCTATGGCAATTTTAGCCAATGTAAGTGGGAACAACACAGTCCAAGTTCTCACTCTAGGCATTGGGTCACCTAAAGATTTGTTGATTTCACACAGTAAAAGTCTAGGATTCCTAGATGTATTTTGGGAGACCATCTAGGATAGACTTGCCAAACATCTTGTTTTCCCTTAAGTCCTGCTCAGTATTTCTGCTAATTCCATCTGTATCTTTGTTCTTCCTTGCCTCTCTTAAGGCACGTCTTCACTATCCACTGGATTGATGGGCCACGACTGATCAAGCGGGAATGAAGTTACTGCAGTAAGTAGATCTAAGTTGGTCAACTTCAGCTACATTATTCACATGGTTGAAGTTATGTAACTTAGATCAATGATCCACAGTAATGTAGAATAGGCCTCCACTTTTATGAGGAACAAAAGACTGTGCAAATAACTATTTACTCCCTTTCTCATGGAAAAAATCACCATCAAGCAACAGAGCTTTCACTCAGGGTGTGTCTAGACTACAGGGTTTTTTTGAAAAAAGTAGCCTTTTTTCAAAAAAACTTCCTCTGTGTCTAGACTGCAGTCACGTTCTTTCAAAAGTAAATCGTAAGAACGTGGCAGTTTTTTTGATCGCGGTAAACCTCATTTTACGAGGAACGTACTCTTTCGAAAAAAGGCGCTATTGATGCAAACTGTGTTTTCGAAAGAGCGGCTAGACTCTCTTTCGAAAAACCAGCTTGCTTTTTCGAAAAATCTACTTGTAGTCTAGATGCTCTCTTTCGAAAGAGGCTTGTAGTCTAGATGTAGTCTCAGTGCTAGAGGTGCAGTCAGGGCAACCCACTCAGACTTCCTCCTTCATCCTCTCTCCCACCCTCATACACCCCTCACACTACAGAATACTAGAGAGGGAAATTGCTTGGGGTGGCAACGTGTAGTTGACTACACGATTAACTGATAAGCCTGGACTTATTGGTTAATCCTGTCGACTACGCACTCACCCCCCTGCCTCGGATACATAGGCAGAAAGGGAGAAGGGGGGGAGTCAGTGCCTGTGAGGAGCTGGCTTTTAAGTTGGCTCCCCAAGAGCACCAGATCCTGTGGAGGCAGCAGCAGGGCAAGGGGGGCAGAAGAGGCTGTTCCATGAGATGCAAGTGCAGCCTCTGTCCGTGGGGAGCTCGGATCCCCTGTGGACAAGGGCTGCTGCCACCCTGCGCTGTCTCAGGGACAGCAGCATGGGATGGCAGGCGAAAGACAGTCTGCATAGGGAGCCAGTTATTAAACTGGCTCCCCGCAAATACTGGCTCCCACACTGCCTGCCAGTCCCGCCCCCAAGGACTATTATATAGTTGTGTAACTGCTAAAATTGTATGCAGTTATACAATTATTCAATTACATGTTATCCCCCGGTTACAGCAGGGCCAGCCTGACTGGGAAACCCTTGGCTGCAGCAGGTTCAACAATGGCCGGGTGGCCCTGGCTGGGAAGCCCCAGGAGGCAACGGAGCCAAGCCACAGCAGCAGGGCAGGCTGCGTCCAAGTGGCCTCAGGGCCAGGAAACCCTGAGGAAACTTGGGAGGAACTGGGGCCAGCAGGTGGCAGCCAGGCGGCCCTGGCTGGGGAACCTGGCAGCAACAAGCAGGGAGCCTCTGCTGGGTTAGCGGGGCAGCGGATGGGTGGAGAGCTCCAGTCATAAGAGCCTAGGGAGAGGAGCAGGGTAGCCAGCAGGGGAGCACTGACCTCCCCTGGTCTGGCAAACTCCCTGCTCCAGGATGGCTCAGGTCCCAAGGGCGCCAGACCCCGGAGGTCTAACCTATATGAACAAACAAGAACTGAATTTAAAGTATATATGGAGAATTCAGAAAACAAAAACAAAAATACCCCCACACTTAACAAGAAAAGAGGGAAACTCCATTACCGTGGATCCAGGACTTCGCCAACTATTTCTTCAAGCTTGTCAATAAAATTAACGAAGTCTGAAAGCCCTTTTACATGGGTTCTTAAAGGATCAAATGGTGAAGGTGCATAACCTTTTCCTCCAAGTTCTATCGTCCGGATAAAAGATGTTGCCATCTGTTAAAACAAAAATATTTAGGTAGATAAGTAAAAGTGTGTAACATTAGGAAAAGAAAATCAGGAATCATTCTGAAGAAGTAATTCTCCCCCAAGACAAAAAGGCAGCTAGCTGCTAGCATGAACAGTCCTAGTGAAGTCAATGAAATTACTCATAGTAATAAGAATTATGCCTGGTGACAACCATTTGCAACATCATGACTTAAAATACTGCAGCATTATATGAGGTCTACACACAAAATATAAAATTAAATGCAAGTAATAGAGCAGAGTCTTGTGTCAAATCAAACTTCAAAATATTTTATAATAGATATATTCACATGAGGAACTTTCTGCATGCAAGTTGAACTCAACAGGACTCAATTAGGATAAGGGAGATACTGTTGTGACACAATATAGCTTGTGGGAATGCCCTGTATCCTCCATATTCCTCATTTTTATATCATGATCTTACATATAAAATATGCCTTGTAAAGTATCAGGGGAAAGGTTATGATCTTCAGAAAGACATGGTTGTCACTAAAACATGCTGTAAGTTGGTGAATCAGACAGATATTAACTTCCCAGATACAACATCAAGAAGAGTAGCTAATGCCCAGGTAGGATGTCAATAGCTATTGTCCAGCAAGAGAGTTACAATGTAATGACTCTCCTGCATGAAACAAAAGCATGGAAACTGCTCAACTCTCCCTGGAAACTCAGCAATGGCCCCAAACATACCTGGATTTATGCTGCCCAAGCACATGGGACTGAAGGTATAAAATTCGAACACAGGGGCCCATGCTTTGCCTTTTACCTGCCCCACCATGCTGCAAGCAACAAGAATGCTCTGAAGACTCCAAAAGAGGGGGCTGACATAGTGCCTTGAAATCTGGGCACTATGGATTGCAGTATCCAGTGAGATGAAAAAAAATTGTTGTTCTAGTTGTTCCACAGTCGAATAGGATTTAGAGTTTAGACTGCATGTTTATATATTTTATTTTGTTAATTACTCTGACTTTTAGCCTAGCACGTATAGTCACTTAAATTCTATCATTGTAGTCAGTCAATGAACTTATTTTACTGTTTATCTTTACCAATGAGAGTTTGTATGAAGTGTTTTGTAAAATCCTTGAGCAAATTTACGAGTCTGGTGTACATACACTTTCCATTGATGAAGTAATAAACCAATTACTAAATTAGACAGTATATCCCTGGGGTATAGTATTGGGAGGATTTGGCTCTGGTGAGATTCAAGAGTGGCTCTGGAAACATTCATGACCTCTGGCTGAGTGTTGGGTTCTACATCCAGTTGTGCTGAGGAATAACAGCAACTGGACGGTTTGCTCTTGATCACTAGCAAGATATTGTGAAAGACAGACCAGGCTAGAGGAGAGAGAGAAGGGGGCAGTGGCCCCATGGTCCCAGGCTGCATCTGGTGGGATCCCATCACAACTGCACTTTCTGAACATTTTCTGAAGTGAGTGTAACTAAATGCTCAGGATGAAAAATCAAGTCAGCTATATCTTATAAATCAAGTCAATTTTATCAAGTATAGAAAATGTTCATATATTTTATAGTACATCTATACATATAGCAGACGCAAAATATTTTTAAAAAATTAGACTGCTCCAAGCAGAACACTTACAATTTTACAGCAACTTTCAGAAGGCCTCGTTTTCTACTTCTACCTTATCAGGTAAATAAAATTATGACAATCATATCTGCCTTCAAGGATGCAACAGTAATTATGTATGTAATTTTTAGCTTCAGATTATACAGCACTCATGTCCACCTCAGACTTGAAGAGTACAACTGAAATAATTCTAGCAAAGAAAGAAAGCAAACTTGCCAACATTCATGTCTTTGCTCTGTTAAAGATTTGCTGTGTATTGTGTGTGGTTCATAGGACCTTGGCTCCTCAATGGAAAATATTTTGGCTTCATGTAACTTATCCTAGACAAAGATGCCAAAAAGAGAAGGATTCTTTATACAGTAGAGAAGTTTCCCCTTTGGCAACTGAGAAAGAGAGGGCAATGAATCCAGTCCAAACACATACTTTTTTATACAACATTAATACAACATTAGGAGCTGAAATAATCCTAGAACTGAGGTTTCACAATTTTTTCCATGTTTATTCAACCATAAGACCATGAGAGTTCGGCTGCTTCAGCATAAATTAAGAATGGTTATTTACCCTACAGTAACAGTGTTTTTTCACTGGATCAGTGTATCCCACTATAGCTGCCCTTGAGCTTCATGTACACAAGATCAAATCATTTTAAATAGCAGTGTTTATCAGGGCCATATACACACCCTATACATTCTCATGTTCCCACACAAGGACATACAGGACAGACTTTTTGCAATCTGAAGTCCATGGTAGCAGAGGACTCTGAAAAGAAGGAAGAAGGGGAGATTGTGTGATCCACGCTGACAACATCTTAACAAACCAGTTATTGTAAGGTATGCAATTCCCCCCACCCTTCATAAGTGTCAGTGTTGCTCCCATTACAGTACTCTCCTTCTGGATAATAGGAAATGGAGTATTAACTGCCTTAGTTGAACAAAGATTTTACTTCTAATCTCCTGAATCTAGTGTCTGTTATGACCTCAGGAGGTCATATAGTCTAGCCCCCTGCCCAAGGCAGGCCCAATCCCAACTAAATCAACCCAGCCAGGGCTTTGTCAAGCCAAGACTTAAAAACCTCTCAGGATGAAGATTCTACCATCTCGCTAGGTAACCCACTCCAGTATATCTATACATATACCAGATACAAATATTTAAAAAAATATTCTGGCAGGCAAGTCAAATGCATGTTTACAGTGGGGGGGGGAGGAGGGGAGAGGGAAGGGAAGAGAACTGTCAGTGGGTTTGCAAATCTCAGAAACGTTTCTGAAACTGGTGGAGAATATAATTTCTGAAACTGGTGAAGATATAGTGTAGTGTATAGTGTAGTGTATAGTGTGTCATTTGATTTGACGTAGTAAGTCTTGATGTTTGATTGAGAGGAGCAAACCAGCCAATGGGTAACAGGGAGATAAAATAATATTTAAATAGATATCAAAATGTAATGAAGTGACCTGGTCTTTGGAATGGCTATCTACAGACAAAAAAAAGGGGGGGGAGGGTGCGGAGACAGTTTGAATGTGTTTCTGTCCATGTAGTAAAGCAAGGTTCAAGAAGCTTCTATGTATATAAGATTCTCTACTGATGAAAAGTAGGTTTCAGAAGGACAGATTTATTGATTGATTCAGATGGAACTGCAAACTTACTTTGGGTATGAACTTACATTGAAGTTTGAGCACCGCCTTAACCCCATGAAGCATTGTGCAGGAAGGCCCTGCTATAAGTGCTTGGAACCTCCCTCATTCTCCTAGCTGACATAATTGCAATTAGAAAGACAGTTGGGAGGACAAAAGCACACTAAAAAGAGCTCAAAGGGTGGTCTTTAAAATCTTGAGAGGGCACTGAGGTCCCAGGAGAAAGCAGGTCCTTGAGGAAAGCAGATACCATCAAATGAATGGAGACCAAGCATAACTATACATGCAAATGGAAAGAACAAACTGCTGTGAAGAAAAATTCACAACATCTGCAACAGTGAAGCTGAACACAAGTTAAGTGAACAAGTAGAACTTTATTAATCCTTGTGAACTGCTCTGGCCATGTGTCGAAGTTGCTTCCAGCGTAAATCCGTGTTCCCATGATGTCACCTCAGAGGTAGAGGGCTGAGAACCAACCCCCTCTTACTAGTGCTGGGATTATAATGTCCAAGGTGTGGGGAAGAGAGAGCTAGGTGCTCCAGCCTCCACCAGTTAATCTGAAACAGTAAGCATCACTCATTAAGGGTGATGCTTACCAGTTAACCTTTCATATCCCTACCCATTCAGGAATCTAGTCATTACTGTGGACAGACAGTTTTGATTCCTGTTGCTCCCATATCCTTTTTATAACTTTAAAAGATGTACTTGCACATTGTTGTTTCCCTGCCCGTCTCTGATGTCCAAGTAGGCATCCACCCCTTTCCACAAACCTTTTGCTCTAGCCCAAGAGATGTAACCTAGAAAAGTATTTGTCCTTCCTGGAAGCGTAAACCTGAATCCAATTTCCCTTATATCTGAGTGTTGAGACTCAACACTCATATTTTGATAATGGTTTCATTATTACTCCAAATATGTATTATTGAAAGATTAATGCTGATTAGACACGTACCAGAAAAATAGGCATTTGTCTCTTCTGCGCAGCATGCTTTAGATCAGTGAAGGCTTCCCTTCCAAGTCCTCTATCAGGAATATTTAAAATATGAGCCAGGGCCAGATCATTGTTAGAATTCACCAACAGGGTTAAATATGCATAAACAAACTTCTTCATGATCAACTGCAACTACATAAGAAAATGTCAAGTTAGTTAAAGTCTCAAAAAAGTTAAAAAAAATATTTAAAAATTAATTAGGCATATGTAGAAATCATTGGTCTGAAAGAGTAAAAATATCAGCATACTGAATTACAAGACACTGATTATATAATTTTAAATACATATACACACACACACACACACATATATATATATGTAACTGGGAAATGATGGATATAACCCAGTATAGGTGAACTTGTGGAATTCTGATATGATTAAGATTTTGTACATAATACTTATAGGAAAAACAAACAAAAAGAGACAAAATAGCTCCGTGAAGAAAATAAACAAGAGCATATGGTTACACTTAGAAAAAGACATTTACCTCTTTAGAACTGGTATTCTTTGAGATGTGTTGCTTATGTCCATTCCACAGTAGGTATGTGTGCTCACCACATGCACTGGTGCTTGAATATTCCCCCCCTTAGCAGTATACATAGGGGATCAGCTCTAGCAACCCCTGGAGTTGCACCTCCATGGTGCAGAATAAGGAGTGCTACACACTCCCTTCACTCTCATTTCCTTACCACAAACTCCGACAGTGGGGAAGGAGGGCAGGATGTGCAATGGACATGAGCAACACATTTTGAAGAACACCAGTTATGAACAGGTAACTGTTTTTTCTTGAGTGCTGACTCATGTCCATTCCACAGGAGGTGACTCCAAGCAATACCCCTGGTTGAGGGTAAGAGTTCAAGCCTGTGTTGACCAGGCTAGATAAAGATCTATGATTTTAAAAAATTAAAACAAATCAGGGTGGGGGTATTAAAAACTGATTTTAAAAAAAATTATCAATACTCAATTTGTCATTTAAAATAATAGTTACAATTAAATCTCATCACAAACATGCTACACCTACACTCTCATAAAAATGAATTAATGGCTCTAGTCTATCCAGCCTTGACTATACCTAAGGAGAGTTAATTTTCTTCATCTTTAATGGGGACTTAAGCTTAAACTCCCTAAGAAAGGACTCATACAGAAGCCTGACCCTACTCGTCAGGCTTGTAGAAAAGAACTGTGTCACCTGATTCAAGAGTGGAGGAGAAAGCAGTACATGTATTTCCTTCTCTGACAAATCTGATTGGCAATAATTGAAGAGGAGAAAATTGTGTAGTATTCCACCTATTCACTTTTGCATACAGTGTGAATATACATTAGAATATACATTACCTTCACATTATCCTGGCTGCGTTTAATTGGTGTTGAGGGTATGGAAAGACTAGAATCATTCTCTTCTGATGAACCAGAGATAAATTTTAACAGTTGAATCTTGAAGAAAATATATAGAGTAGAATTAAACATGAAAATGATTGCGTTTTTCTCTAAGTTTCAATTACATTACTATAAATAGATTTATCCCAAAAATGGTCTCGTCCAATTCTTGAAAGAAGAAGCATCCTGAAGAAGCTTCTTTATCCTTTAAGTCACAAAATTTCCAAAGAGGAACCTGTATAAGCAATAAAGTGAGGTGCAAGCCTGAAAAACTACAAGGTGGGGTTGGGATCAACAAAATGAACAGCTATTGCCCTCAAACAGGAAACTTTTTGCCACTCTGGTGTAGATTCTGGGAAAATCATCCTCTGATAACTTCTGTTTGGCTCTCTGTAAATCTCTTGATATGGATCTAAAATGGTGTATGCCATTTCTCATCCTACAGCCAAGCATTTTGCTTATGATATTTAGACCTTTTATGTCCAATTCCTTTTCAGTTACATGGGAAACCCACCAAGTGTTATAACCTACAACTGAGAGTGGCATTTGAAGCATTTGCTCATTGTGCTCCTGCCACTCATCCTGCAGCTTACTTGTTGAATTCAAAGGTTTTATTCAATTGTGTTTGCCATACCACAACACTCACTGAAGCTCAGATAGATATTCATTGTACTGTGAAAGTCAATTCAAAGTACCTAAAATTTAGGAAGATAAAATGGTAAGTGAGAATATTCTCCCAGTTGATAGACATCGCAGCAAAATTAGAACATGCCGCCTCACCATCACTTAACTCACTCAAACGGGACACTTCAGATGGTTGATTTGAGACAGTCTCAACCATCTCATCAATCCTTTATTACTAGTAGCCTTTTATTTTTATCTACTCATGGTTTAAAAAGTTTGATTCAAACCCTAAAGTAACTAATTAACCGATTCTGTGCCTTTCACTAACTTAACTATATTGATTACTACTAGGAATGTTAGATACTCTGTAATCAAAGAGTCACGTAACAGCATCAAATTTTAGCGGTTATACCACTATTCAATAGTCTTCAGGGGTGGGGCCGGCAGACTGCTCCCGGCCCCACTTGGAGGGAGCCCCCTGCCACCCAAGGCTGCTGCCTCTCTAGCAGAGGCAGCAGCATGTGTTGGCAGGCGGGAGTCGGTCTGTGAGCGGAGCAGATTTAAGATCTGGATTCCTGCACAGACTGCTCCCGCCTGCTGTCCTAATCTGTTGCCTCTGATACAGAGGCAGCAGCATGGGGTGGCAGCAGCCCCTGACCACTGGGAGGGGGGTGTCTGACCTCCTTATGGACAAAGGTTGCTTCGTGACACTCATCAGGAGAGGGAGTTGGCAGGTGGCACCACAGAGCTAGTGCTCGGAGGAGCCACTGCCTCTGCAGGAGGTAACGGGAGAGGGGTGGGGGGAGGGAGGAAGCGGGAGCTGGCACAGGTGGAGAGTCAGCTTACAAGCTGGGGGAAATGCCTGTAGTTGACAAAATTAACTGATAAACCCAGGCTTATTGGTTAATTGTGTAGTCATCTACATGTTGCATGTAGATGCATGATGAAAAAGGAGTCATATGAAAGGTGGAAAGTAAGTCAATTTACAAAGGATAAATGCAAACAACACAGGTAAGCAGGGGCACGATTAGGAAGGCAAAGGCACAGGCACAAAACGAGCTCAATCTCACTAGAAACATAAAGGGTAACATTTATAGAATGCCTTCTTATATTAGAAGCAAGACGATGACAAAGGACAGGATAGGCCCACTGCTCAGTGAAGAGGGAGATACAATAACAGGAAACTTGGAAATGGCAGAGGTGCTTATGATTTTTGTTTCAATCTTCACCAAGAAGTTTGATGATGAAGAGATGCCTAACATAGTGAATGCTAGTGAAAATGTGGTAGGTTTACAGATAAAATAAAAAAAGAAAAAGTAAAAAATTACTTAGAAAAGTTAGATGTCTTCAAGTCATCAGGGCCTGATGAAATGCATCCTAGAATACTCAAGGAGCTGTTAGAGGAGGTATCTAAGCCTTTGGCTATCATCTTTGAAAAATCATGCAAGTTGGGAGAGATTCCAGAAGACTGGAAAAAGGCAAATATAGTGCCCCTCTATAAAAAGGGGAAGAAGAACAACCCAGGAAACTACAGGCCAGTAAGTTTAACTTCTGTACTAGAAAAGATAATGGGGCAAGTAATTAAGGAATTCATCTGCAAATATCTGAAAGGAAATAAGGTGACAGGGAACATCCAGCATGGATTTGTAAAGAACAAATCATGTCAAACCAACTGATAGCTTTCTTTGATAGGATATCAAGCCTTGTAGATAAGGGAGAAGCAGTGAACATGGTATACTTAGACTTTAGTAAGGCATTTGATATGGTCTTGAATGACCTTCTTGTCAATAAACTATGCAAATACAACTTATATGGTGCTACTATAAAGTGGGTGCATAACTGATTGGATAACTGTTCTCAGAGAGTAATTATTAATGGGTCACAATCCTGCTGGAAAGACATAACAAATGGAGTTCCACAGGGGTCTGTTTTGGGATGGGTTCTGTTCAATATCTTCATCAACAATTTTGATGATGGCATAGAGAGTATGCTTAGTAAGTCTGCAGATGATACCAAGCTGGGAGAGGTAGCAAGGCCTTTGGAGGATAGGGTCATAATTCAAAATGATCTGGACGAACTGGAGAAATTGTCTGAGGTAAATAGGATGAAGTTTAATAAGGATAAATGCAAAGTACTCCACTTAGAAAGGAACAATCCGTTTCACACATACAGAATGGGAAACAACTGTCTAGGGAGGAGCACTGCAGAAAGGAATCTAGGGGTCATAGTGGACCACAAGCTAAATATGAGTCAATAGTGTGACACTGCGACAAAAAAGCAAACATGATTCTGGGATGCATTAACAGGAGTGTTGTGAATGAGACATGAGAAGTCATTCTTCTGCTCTACTCTGTGCTGATTAGGCCTCAGTTGGCCTATTGTGTCCAGTTCTGGGCACATTTCAAGAAAGATGTGAAGAAACTGGAGAAGGTCCAGAGATGATCAACAAAAACTGATTAAAGGTCTAGGAAACATGACCTATGAGGGACAGCTGAAGGAACTGGGCTTGTTTAGTTTGGAAAAGAGAAGACTGATATGGGACATGATATCGGTCTTCAGATATCTAAAAATATGTCACAGGGAGAAGGGGGGGAAATTATTCTCCTTGCCCATTGCTTTTTGTCCTGTCATCAGAGGCCTTAAATTGCAGCAAGGGAGGTTTAAGTTGGACATTGGGAAAAACTTCCTGCCTGTCAGGGTGGTTAAACACTGGAACAAATTGCCTCAGGAGGTTGTGGAATCTCCATCACTGGAGATGTTTAAAAGCAGGTTAGACAGACATCTATCAGGGATGATGCAGATCAGTGTTTCTGAAAGTGTTCTGTGGAATCACTCAAAGAAACACATTAACTGGTCGCCCCGGTTTGTTTATTTACTGGCGCTGCAGCCGTGGAGCCTCACAGATCCCCCTGGCTACAAAGGACGAAACAGAGCCAATAGGAGGCTCCATGGCTGTGGCACTGGTAAATAAACAAACCGGGGTGGCCAGTTAATGCGTTCCATCGGATCACTCTCAGTACTTCCCACCAAGGGAAACTGTGTGGCTCCATGGCTGCAGCGTCAGTAAATAAACAAACGGGGGCGACCAGTTAATGTGTTTCTGAGAGTGATTCGATGGAACACTTTCAGAAACACTGGTCTAGACGGTGCTTGGTCGTGCCATGAGGGCAGGAGACTGGACTTGATGATCTCTCAAGGTCCCTTACAGATCTAGTACTCTATTTTATGATCTCTAATTACTGCACAAAAATTTATCAGAGAGTTTTATAGCCACAGAGCCAAATAGCCAGGGACTGGATTACTTGAGAGTAATCTGAATTGAGAAGCACAGAAGTGTTATCATATACAGGCAGTCCCCGAGTTACGCGGATCCGACTTATGTCGGATACGAACGGGGAGCAAAGCGGAGCAAAGCCGTGGAGCACGCGGGCAGCGGACATCCCAGACGCGCCACGGCTGTCCCGCTGCCGGCGTGCTCCGCGGCTTTGCTCCGCTTTGCTCCCCGTCTCCCTGGTCTGCTCCCAAGCTGCTCTGCCCCAGGCGTCCCCAAGTCAGCTGCTGCTGAAACTGATCAGCGGCTGATTCCAGGAAGCCCGGGGCAGAGCAACTCTGCCTCGGGCTTCCTGTAGTCAGCGCTGGACAGTTTCAGCAGCGGCTGAATCTGGATGCCAGTTCCGACTTACATACAGATTCAACTTAAGAACCCCAGGCGTCCCCAAGTCAGCTGCTGCTGAAACTGATCAGCGGCTGATTCCAGGAAGCCCGGGGCAGAGCAACTCTGCCTCGGGCTTCCTGTAGTCAGCGCTGGACAGTTTCAGCAGCGGCTGAATCTGGATGCCAGTTCCGACTTACATACAGATTCAACTTAAGAACAAACCTACAGTCCCTATCTTGTACGTAACCCGGGGACTGCCTGTATTTGTATTCAATTGTTTCCCCCTGACAAAATTTTTAAAGTGTATTTCAACTAGGGATATTAAGAAACCAGTATCTGACTAATCGTGTAGCCAATAAAATTATCGACTTTCCCTTTTCAACTAATCGTAAAGTACCACTTCCGCTGAGGCTCTGCAGTTTAAGTGTAGTAAGAGCTAGGCTGCCTGCCTGCCTGGCTTCTACTACATTTAAATTGCAAAGCCGTAGCAGGGGAAGTTCTTCGACCCAGCACAAGCCAGGATTGAGCTGGGCTTGCTCAGTCCTGGCTTGCGCCAAGTGCAGCAACCCCTGTCCACGGGTGTGCGGGGAATTCTCTCTAGGCACCCACACCCTTGGCAGAGGGAGGAGACTGCATGTGCTCCCCCTTGCCTTGAGGTCAATCAGGGTCTGGGGCAGGTGAGCATTGTAAGTCTGTCCCCACTCTGCAAGGGAGCTCCGTGCTTAGAGTCACCCACCAGTTGAGCAGCAGCTGGCAGTTGACTCAGTACCAAGCCTCTTGCAGAGCAGGATGAAATTTCACATGCTCCCCCCAACACTAGGCCAATCAGGGCTCGGGGGTAAGATGCATGTGCGAAGTCTCCTCCCGCCCTGAAAGGAGTGTATGGTGCTTTCAAGCACCATGCACTCCTTGCAGGACAGGGGTAGGGCGGGGGGAGACTTTGCATGCTTCCCTCTGCTCCTAGGCCCTGATTGGCCTAGGGGTGGGGAGTGGCAGGACCTCCGCAGACTGGATCAATCCACTTGGAGGGCTGGATCTGGACTGCGGAGGCCCTTTTGTCCTAACCTGCCTTAGGGAGATTGTGGTTTCTACGAGACAGGAGGATAGGAAGAAGCATTAAAAAAAAAAAAAAAAAATAACAGAAGTTTCAGCTTTAAAAACAATTTAATAATTACAAAATTAAAGTTTCTTCCCTACAGAAAACCTAAGCAATGGATATGAAAAATTCATGGCTTCTAAACAGATCTTAACATTATTATATTTCTGAATTGGAGTTAACCACATTGTGTATCAATTTCAAAAACATTAAAAAAATACATACTTACAGGACACATCTCTTCAGTTTCAGATGCTAATGTAGAACATTTCTGACATATATCTATTAAATCTAACATATTACTGCTCTTCAAGAAGGTATCATAAGCTTTTTTGATATCGTCGTAATTTTCAGGTGCTTCCATATTCTCACATATCAATCCCAGTTTGTCATGTAGCAAGTATTTCCAAGTTACCATTATATCACTAAGAGATACTGTAAAATCTCCATGAAGCTAATATAAAAAAAGAAAACAAAAACCATTATGCTTTGCTGGTAGTGTAGATCTCACAAACTTTAATAAAACAATATTCATATGTATTTTAATACACTCTATACAGAAGTATTTTAACGTTGATTCATTTATGTTAAAGGAAAAATGTTACTTGTAACTAGAAAGTGTATTCACTATTCAACAGTCTTAGAATAAACAACTGATTAATATCTAATTCTTTAGATGATCACAGTGGTCCCTTCTGGATTTAAAAATCTATGGATCTTTAAAGACCTGTGCACATGCAAAACTGCATATAGAAGCAGAAGTGGATTAAGGTTTCCTGGGGCCAGAGCCAGTAGGGGTCCCCTCCCTACCTGCGGGCCATCCATGGCTCCACCCCAGTCTGCTCCTTCCCCCATGTTCCTGCCCCAATTCCGCCCACATTTCCTACCTCCCACTTCTGCCCTGCAAATTGTTTTTTTCTTACAACTTGCCCCCCACTGCAGCTCCCCAGAGCGACAGCAGGGAGTGAGAGCTCCTTCAGTCTTGGGGCCACAGCAGGCTTCCCCCACTACCCCAGGCTTCCACAGGCAACCAGGATGCTGGAGCTTCTCCTACACCACTGGACATTTCTGCCAGAGAGCCATGTCAAGACGTAGGGGCTTCCCTAACTCCACTGGTGCTTCTGCCAGGGCTCTGGGCTTCCACTGTCCCATAGCAAATTTCTGCTGGGGGTGGAGGGCTCATTTTTCCCAGGGTTCCCAATGAGGATTGCCTCCCCTGGATAACCTGCCATGGTTTATGACAGTAGTCTCATCAATTTCAGTGGGATTATCCACATGCAGAAAGTTCAGCATGTGTATAAGTGCTCGTAGTATCAGTCTGCAGCAGGAAGGCTATATGCATCCCAGAAGTGGCAATCTGAACAATTTTTGGAGAAAAACCGTACTTTTAAAATATTCATTTACAGAATAGTTGAAACAAAGTACCCTGGGTGAGAAGGAGTATGAATGTCCAAAAGGTTAAGAATATTTTATTTTTCCATAATGTAGTTAATACAAAAAGGCTTTGCTGTGAAGTTCTTAGGGCTACTATAACTACCAACCCAACAAAAGCAATAAAATGAAAAAAGTTAAGCCACCCTGTGATGGGGTATACAAATGTACACAGGCAACCAGTGGTTAGTGAAGTCCTCTGGGTTCAGCCAACCACACCTAGAGGAAATGCTCCAAATGGAGGAGTTAAAATGCAAGGGAGCCACTCATTTGATGGCATACAAGGGAGGAGAGTGGACCCACAACTACAGCAGAGAGCTGAGGGAAAGGCAAAATCTCTCCCCATGGCAAATGTTCAAAAGGTCTCTCCATAAGGGAAAGGTGGACCTGCTACTGGTTGGACCTCCCTGCTCCAGCATCTTTGGGACCTGAGTAAGGGAGTTTGCTGGACCAGCAGAGGTCAATTCCAGCTCCCAAGGCCACCAACCCCAAGGTAAACTGAGTTTGAGACCTCTGTTACAAACAGTCCCTGCTCCTCCCATTCATGCACTATGGCTATGTCTACACTGCAGGCTTCTTGTGCAATAACTGTTTTGCGCAAGAGTTCTTGGTGCAAGAGTGCATCCATGGCAGTGTGGATGCTCTCTTGCGCAAGAAAGCTCTGATGGCCGTCCACACTGCCTTCTTGCGCAAGAGCTCTTGCTCTTGGAGAGGAATAACTCTTGGGTGTTATTTTCAGCTTGTGAGGAAAGAAATAACTCTAGCACAAGAAGCATCCACTGATGCATAGAATGCTCCCTCAGGTTTTAGAATCAAATTTTGTGTTCCAAAGCTGTCATGTACAAAGAGTGTTCAGCTTCACTTTGCTTGGCCATTGATAAATCTGTGCAGAATGGAAGAATAAATTGCAGTTTCCTACATGTTTAAAGTTTAGGTTGCTCAAATGCAACGTAAACTTAGTCGCAGGGACTTGTTCTGTGGGAATAAACTCTACCCACCTTTAACACTGTTTAAAACAAAATAACTACAGAGATGGACCAGGAATACTTGGATTATAGATGGTAACACTTGATTCAGTTTAACACATCCCTTTCTCAAATTTATAACTATAATTTTGAATTATAGGTTTTAGAGGATTTTTTTTTTATTAAAAGAACCTGCAGTACTTGAAAAGTCTAACTAGGAAAAACTTAAAAACAGCAAAGAGTCAAATAGCACCTTAAAGACTAACAAAACATGTAGATGGTATCATGAGCTTTCGTGGGCAAAACCCACTTCTTCAGATGACCAGAGTATAATAAGTCCAAATAGCTAGCAAGGAAACCGCTACTATTGTAAAAGCTGTTTAAAGAAGAAAAGATGCAGGTTACAGCCCTCTCCCTAGCAGAGTCCTCCTAGTAGACAGTCACCATTCTGTTGTTAGTCCCAATCTTTGGCTCTCCCAGAGTTTCAAGATAATAGCTGCTGTTCAGACACTGTTATCTGGATTTAATTAGGGCCTCTCAAGCATACCACTGAGGAGCATATTCACAGTCTGGAACCCCTCTTTGGCACAGACTGCAAAATCCCAACTTCCCTTCACCCTGAGATACATCCTGAACCTCACAAGCCAACCCAATAGTTTATGCATTCCCTCACAGTCTACCCCCACAAGCATGTGGATTTTAGTTTAACTTTTTTAGGGTGCGTCTACACAGTGCCAAATTTCGAAATAACACACTATTTTGAAACATCCCTTAACTCTCGTGGAACAAGAGTTACTACGATGCCAAAATAGCGCACCCTTTATTTTGAAATAATGGGCAGCCAGTGAAGATACAGAATAGCTATTCTGGGATAACTGTGCAGTGTAGATGTACCCTTGGGGACCACATGACATTAAAGCAAGGAACACAATTTCCTTTGCAAAGCCTCAAACACATACTAAGGATGTTAAATTGCAGTTATCTGGCTAATCGTGTAGTCGATACAATTTGTATTAAGGAATGCTCTGCAGAGCCACAGCGGAGGTAGCTCCAGGAATTCGTATTTGGACACAGACATGTTTTCCAAATTGTCGCAATGCATGATCTCTGAGCTTTATTAAAACACTGCTTTTTAGTATTGATTCATGTTCAAAATATTTAATACTCTACTAATTAATTACATTATGTACCAAAAAATACAAACATCTATTAATTATATATTGTGGGATCATACCTTATGTTTTGGCTCTCATGGAGATATTTAAAAGAAAAAGATGAAATCCCAAACAAGACAAAGCTCTCCAAGTTTCTTAATGGGAATTGAACTTATACAATAGCTCTGAAGGGAGCATAATGCAACAGGATTTATTTCCTTAGCATGTATCAGGGCACACCAAAATTATTTAACAAGGCAGTAAAAAATAAATAATCAGAAAGACAGACAATAGTGGATGGACTGGTTATTCACCTTAGCTAACAGACATCCTTTAGAGGGGTCATAGAGATGTAGCCGTGTTAGTCTGGTCTGGATACAATCAAACTATCAATCTAATTATCTCACCCATTACAAAGATAGCTTCCCCAATTATCACCTCTAATACTGTTATCTCATAGATACTCACCTTCCCCCCTCATCCTTCTTCTGTTCTAAAATCTGATTTGTCTATTTTGTATGTGTTCACTTTTTTTTTTTTAATGGTATCCCTTTGGTATATATCAGTGGTCCCCAACCTTTTGGGGTGCCGGGCACCCATGGGCGGGGCCTCACATGCGCCATGTGCCCTGGGGTGTCGCCGTGCGCCCAGGGTCACACATGTGCCACGCGCCTGGGGGTGGCACCACACATGCACCACACACCCGGGGCGGGGACTGGGCAGTTGCCGGGGCGCAAAAATGGCTCGGGCTGGCCCTAGTCATTAGGTGGGTGCACATAAATGCCCCGGCGGGCGCCTTGGCACCCGAGGGCACCACGTTGGGGACCACTGGCATATATGATGCTATCAATGGAAACACAATTAACTGAGTGCTCCAGTGTAAACAAACAGTAAAAATAACAAAACCAAGTTTGGAGTAGCTCACTGTCAATGTCTGTTGAAAAGGATGCCATTTTAAAAGATTTAACATGTTCTAACCCTTCAAGAACTCACAATTGATATTCCCTAAAACTATCTACACTTCACTTACATCCCATAAGAAGTTCAACACCAAAATCAGGGAAGAACACTATGATTAATCTCAGTTTATCTGAAGTAACTCAGTTTGGCAATCCTTCTGTCCAGGTAACCTGAAATCAGCTGGCACAGAGTCACGTAGAGGGGAAACTGCTTTAATCTTTCATTCAGCATCAGTGACACTCCCTGGTCAGACTGATCTATAAGGAACTAAGCCAGTACATCATCATTCTAGGTAAAGTCCTAGCCATAGTAGTAGCAAACATCTGACCTCTCCAGTGAAATCGAATCTGGGGCTTCATGAGAAGTGGTGAAGAGACAAACAGAAGAGGGCCTCAAGCAAAATGACTCACTCTTCTCCAAGAGCAGAAGGCACAAAAAGGCAGCTAACTGGAAAATACATAGAGCCCTATAAATCTGCAGATATCCACTTTATATCCATGGGTATCCGCATCTGCCGGTATGGATGCAGATATCCATGGCACATTTTTGTGGATATAAATTTTGTATCCACACGGGGCTCTAGAAACATGCACCACTGATGCTTAAGCCCCAAAGCATCTTATATCAACTTAATTCTGTAAGCATCTCCACGACTATATTGTTCCCATCATTGTAAGTTGCCCACTGCACTGATCTACTAAGTTCAGCACTTCAAAAGGTGTAGCACACTTAGGTTGATGTAGTAGAGTTGATACAGTGTCAGTATAGACGCTACATTTCTTATATTGCCTATTGCTGCCTTTACAGCCCAAATCCCACTACCCCTCTGATGGTGGGACTCCAGCTGTCAGAGCCTCACTTAAATTGGTACAAGTGCTTCTTCTGAATATGAAAACTGCCAACAGAAGGTGTTTAATGTGGGACACAAAGAACCAATTTAATTACTGCAGTTGCTATAGGTCAACCTAACTTAAGTTGACTTAATTTTGTAGTGCAGACATGGCCCAATACACAAACTGAGGGGAAAACAGGTATTCAGAACTCACCAAACAGATTAGGTCTCCATAGGTGAAGTCACAAAAAGGTTGTGGTGGATGGTAGAAAGGATTACCTTTAGAACTTGTAAGATCAGCAATTAAATATTCAATTAGGGGCAATCTTTCATAACCCAGGATAAGTCCTCCCTCTGCCTCAAGGAGAAAATGGTTATGAACAAGGATCTACAACCTCTGAGGTGAAGTGCCCTAACCACTGGGATGCTACAGGATATTCGGATGTGAAGCTCCCTCCGTCTTTCCTGTTGAAGCTGTTCCAGTATGTATAAATAATGTTTAAAAGTTATTAGAGCAGGGGGACTGGATCCTGGGTCTCTTACCTACTGGGTGGGTGCTCTCACTTCCAGGCTAGACTTACTCATGTTTGAATTATTTCATTATTTAATCTACAGCGGAGAGATAGTTGAACTGAGGGGCGTTTCTCCTCTATCCCAGGTGAGTCACCTAATCACAGGCCAGAAGTTATGAGGGAGGTCCTCCTTCTCCCCTCCTCACTCCAGCTTCTTAGTAAAACAGCAGAATCACTTAATGCTAAGAAGGTTTTTCCCCTGAGAATTCCTAAGTACTGTAAAGAGAGGAACAGGGCTTAGTACGCACTGCTCATCTTGGCGCCTCAAGCAACGAATCACCTAGCATGCTGACTTTGTGAATCCCATTCTGAGTTGCCTCTTTCTCCCCATTCATTGTACAGTGGCATCAAACTCAAGCTTTGTGAATACCAGTGATTTTTTAGGCATCTGAATGTTAGGACAGGCAATGCTCAGCATTACTACAGTGAGCTCTTTTGTGAATCTACCCCCTAGTGGCTAGAAGGAACACTGAAGGAAAAGGGAGTGACTGAGAAATTACATGAAAAAAGCAAATCGCAGAAATATCATTGTAATACTGAAGATGAGAAATTACGCATACAAAACAAACAAAAAAATCAGAAAGCTAACATTTTAAAATTTGAAAACTAATATTTTAAAATGTGTGCCGTAAGTTAAAGCTCCTAAAGCTTATTAATGCCTGTTATGTTTAGTCTGATTTTCAAAAGTGCTAATCACCCAGCAGCTTCCATTGACAGAGTACAAACCTGTTTATTGACTTCAGCCATTGATAACTGTAAAGCCATCATCATGTAGTCTGCACCACAAACAGTAGTCCTTTCTGAATCAGAAAACAAGCACCACTGTCTTCTAAAACACTTGATCATATTTAAGATCTTTTGCTGAAAGACAGCCATATTCCTGAAGTGGAACAGAGAGAGAATGACTTAAGTCCATACAAATAAATGCAGTTTTAAAACCATAATTTTCTAAGTAACAATTTGGGGACACAGCATCCCATATTTGTCAATTTGTCTCCATTCTCTTTAATGCTAGGCAATTGCTATGATTACTTCCTCCACATTGGGGTGGGCAAAATACAGCTTCCAGGCCAGATTTGTCCCACCAAACACTTAGATTCAATCTGCCATGATCCTCTGAGCTGTTAATGCCTGCCACAGTCCCACAAGCTGCTCAAAGCAGCCGGTTGCTGGGGCAAGCACATCTGTATGTGTGCATCCCTTGATGGCATGGGGCAGTGGGTCTCTGCGTACTGCCCTTGCCCCCAGCATCATCCTCCCAGCTTCCATTGGCTGGAAACAGGCCAGTGGGAGACGCATGAGTGGTGCTTGCGGGAACAAACAGCTCACAGAGACTTGTTGTCCCCACTCTCCAAGGGGCATGCAGAGACATATTTGCCCTAGCAGCCGGCCACTCTGAGTGGCCTGAGGGGCTGCAGAAGGCAGGCAGCCAGCCTGCCTGAGTGCTCCCCCGTAGGCCACTGGCTGAGAGCCGCCTATGATAAACACCTCCTGGCCAGAGCCTGTAACTCATGTCCCTTCCTGTATCCAACTGGTCATAACACCCTCCTGCACCCAAACTCCATCGCAGACCCTGCATTGCCTCTGAACCCTCACTGATGTGGCCCACAACTGAAACTCCTCACTCCCCTGGAGCTTCAGCCCCATGGGGGAGGGGAGATGAGAAGGAGAGGGAGAGGAGGACTGAGGATTTGAACCCCTTAGGCTCTGGAGTGGGGCCAAAAATGAGGCGTTCAGTGTGTGGGACAGGGCTGCCAGTGAGTGAAATAGGGATGGAGGAGCAGGATCTCGGCAGGAAGCAGGGTGAGGAGGGGCTGAGGGTGCAAGGTCTGGGTGGGAGGAAGTGTGTAGGAGCAGCCTGGGGCCAGGTAGGGAATCTGGCCAGGAAGGAGGGTGCAGGAGCAAGGGAGTGTGGAGGAACCAGCTGGGGGTAGGGTGTCTGGCCATGGGGGAAGAGGCAGGAGCAGGGGTGGAGACAGAGTGTCTTGTCAGAGGGGAGGGGGCAGGACCAGGTTGATCTGGCCAGGGAGGAGGGGGACAGGAACAGGGAAGAGGACAGGGTGTTTGGCCAGAGGGGAATGGTGCAGTACACCTGGGAGGGGACAGGAGTGGGTTGGGGGTGCAGGGACTAGGCAGGGAGCTGGTGAATGAGTGGGCTGGGGGTGCAGGGTCTCAGCATAAGGGAGTTGGGGCACTTACTTGTCGTCAGGCCCATGCCAGTCACAAGTTCAGCCTCTCGCTGCTCCTATTAGCCAGAATCTGGCCAATGGGAGTGCAGGGAAAGTCTCCAGACAGCGAGCTGGCACGTTGCTGTCCTCCCAGCCCAGGTGAGGGAGCGCTTCTCCATGCAGCAAGGCTCAGGGCTCTCTCTCCATCCACCCCACCCCCCACAGTGGGAAGTCAGCACTGGTGCTTCAACTGCAGGGGGGAGGAGGGAGGGAGAGGCTACAGCGCCAGGCAAAGGGGGCCCAGGCCTCTCAGGTAAGTGCTGCCAGGCACCTCCCTCATCTACATTGCAGAAGTGCCACTCGTTGCTGCAGCCTCGCATGTGGCTGGGCAGGAGGAAGCCAGTCTGATCTTGGGAGACAGGCTGGGCTTGGATCTCACCAGGGCAGCTAGGCCCTGGGCTCAGGATGTGGCCACTCAGGGCACAGAGGAGGATGGGGCAGTGGGCAACTGGGAATGGAGGACATCTTGCCCTGTGCCTGGTGCTTGTCCTGAGCCTGCTGGCCCAGCAGCCCACGAGCATCAAGAACAGTAGTGGTGCAAGCAAACAGCCTTAGAGTAAGTTGTGGTGCCCCAGAGTGTGGGATCCTTCCTCTGCTTCTGGCATGAGTGGGCTGAGCCCTAGGCCTAGCACCAGCCAAAGCAGCCCCTGGGCTGGGGAATAGGCTGCCTGAAAGACTGCAGCCAGACCTGAGTGGGCAGGACCACTGGGAAGCAGAATCTGCCCAGGCCAGGCAGCTTTGCCAGTCCCCCAACAGCATCCAGGGCAGGGAGCTCATGCGAGGGCAGAGCCTGTAGATGCAGATATTGTTCTGTTGTCCCGGAAAAAACATGTTATATATAGACAGACATTATGTAAAAACTATTTCCTTCTCTCAGTTTTGAATTTGTTACCTTTTAATTTCATTGAATGTTCAAAAAAACCACAACCCTTCATGGGGAGCCTGGGCTACTACATTTTATGTGCTCCAGCCCTGCACGGTGTTGGCAGGGGGCTGGAGCACCAGCCCAGGTTCCCCAGTGTTGTGGGCCAGATCCAGGCAAGGCATAGACCACATCTGGACCCCAAGTCTTAGGTTCCTCCACCCCAGTCTAGTTTACTTTTTAAGACAATGGGACCAATCCGACCCACAGTCTTCCAAACAATGCTACACCTTCATGTTTCCTGTAAAAACTGAAACTTTTAACCCTCTTTTAAATGGTAGGCACCCGCACACCTGCACCACTAGGCACATGCCTCTGTCCTCTCCCTACCTGGAAATCCAGCTCTGGGAAGGAGACGGGAACGGGACATGACTAAAAACTGACACAGTCCTAGGAGGGGTGAGGAGGCCACAGGGGGCTCCTTGCCATATAGTGCCGTCCCTTGGCATCATCTTGTCATAGCCCTCCCCCCCCAGGCGAGTGAGCCCCAATCAGGAAGGAGGCTGGGTTGCCAACGCTGGCTCGCCGGATTCCTGGAGATTTCGCCCCCATGGCGTGACGTAATTCCGGGAGGCTCCCGGGCAATCCTGGAGGGCTGGCCCCACGAACCTCTAACGCCAGAGTCTGCGCAGAGACGCGGCCCGGGGCAGCGGTCACGGCCGCCGTCCTAGTCGGACGGGGGCAGCACCTGCTGGGGAACGACCCAGGCCACGGGAGACTCCAGTCCTGGGGACCCCCCGCCCCGCGGCCCTTTCATGAACCCCCCTGGCGGCCACCAAACAGCGGGTGAGTTACCTGTGCGGCTGGGACAGCTCGGCAGGTCCCGAGCGAAGGGGGGGAGAGGAGAGGTTGGTTGCCTGGTTACCTAGTCGCACGCGCCGGGCCGCTGGCGGCGGGTTAAATTTAAATCTACCCCAGCTGTCCAATCAAAGTTGGGGGGGAGGAGTTGCCTCTGACCCGGAAACGGAAAGCGCCTGGGGGCGGAAGTGGCCGCGAGCTGCCTACAAACTCTTCGCGGGAGAGAAAGTGGCAGGCGGTAGGGAGACATCCATGTACGTAGGGGGCGGCCCGCGCGTATGTCGTTTGGCGCGGCCGGCGATCCCCCGCTGGTGTCCAGGCCTTCGCTCCCGTTGTGGGAGGGGCCCCTTGGAGAGTCTACCCTGTCCGGGGCTCTCTGGGCTGCAGCCCTTGTTCTCCCTCAGCCCCCCCCCCCCCCCCCCCCCCCGTCCCCGCTTCTTCTCTGGTCCCCGCCACGCTCCGTCCCTTTCCCAGCTGTGCCCTGGGTGCTGCGGGCTTGTCCTTCCTTCCCTGCCTGCCTGCCTGCGCCGTGTTGCCATCGCGCGCTCCCAGCGGAATAATGCTTTGCTGCCAGCCCCAAACGTTAACCACTCGTGGGTCGGGCCCCACGTTTTCGGGAGATGTGTGTTGGGTGGGGAGGGCTCAATTCGCCCAGTGGGTTTGGAGTCTCCTGGATACATTCGGTTCTCAAGTGTTTTCCTCTGCAGCTAACAGAGACTTTCTTTAGATGAGATGTTTGACTCCAGGAGCTGGGACCTGAAGAATGCTAAATAGGGCAAGTATCAGAGGGGTGGCTGTGTTAGTCTGAATCCGCAAAAACAAGGAGAAGTCCTGTGGCACCTTATAGACTAACAGATTTATTGGAGCATAAGCTTTTATTGGAGCATAAGCTTTCGTGGGGGAAGACCCAATTCACTGACAAAGTGGGTCTTCGCCCGCGAAAGCTAATGCTCCAATAAATCTGTTAATCTGTAAGGTGCCACAGGATTTATCCTTGTTTCTGCAAATAGGGCAAGGTTCATCATAAAATCACAACTTAGCAACATTGATGAAGCTTTCCCGACATTTCTTCCCCCAAAGAGATGAGTTCCCACTCTACTGGGTTATAACATTTGAAATCTTCTTAGGATACTAATGTACAAGTGACCAATAGGGATGTTAAAATGTGTTTAAGTAAATGTATGAAATTTTCAGTCGTTACGCACAGAGCAGCAGTCCGCTCCCATGGAGCTGAAGCATACTGGGAGCCTGTGTGAAACCATGAAGATTAATCCATGAGCCTGGCTCATCAGTTAACTGTGTACACAGTTATATTTTCACATCCTTAGTGACCAAAGAAACTGAGCCAAAAATTATTCATAATTTTTTCTCTTAACGAATGACAACTCCACTTGTTTTAACTCAGTCCTTTGAATCTTTTTTCCTTATCAATTTGTTTGCTCTCCTAATTTGCTAGATATTTATTTGTACTTGAGTTCAGCACTGTGATAGGTCTTATACCAATGATCTCTAACCTTTTGAGCATGAGATCACTTTTTGAATTTAAATGCAGTCCAGGATCTACCTCAAACACCTTCGCCCTGCTTCCTTTCTGTCCCTTCTCTGAGGCCCTGCTCACTCCATCCTCCCTCCCCCATCCTCACTCACTTTTATCAGGCTGGGCAGGGGCGGCCCGTGAGCCTAGGTGACCTAGGCAGTTGCCTAGAGCACCGCTGGCCCGGGTGCCCTGTGATGACATCACAGCCATTAATGGCTGTACCGGCGGGGCGCCCAATCCCCCCCCGCTGCCCCACTCTGCCCAAAGCCACTCCTGAGGCTGGGGGCAGGGGTTTGGGATACAGGAGGGGTTCAGGACAGGGGCTAGGGTTCAGAATGCAAGCTCCAACTGGGCACTGCTTACCACAGATGGCTTCTGGGTGGTGGTAAAAGGGACTAAGGCAGGCTCACATCCCTGCCCTGGCCCTGCTCCACTTCCAAAAGCAGTCAGCAAACTCTCCATTTCTGCCCCCCTCTGCTCTGTTGAGATGGGAGTACAGGGTGGGGGGAGGGGCACCCTAACATCAGCAGCCCCCCTTCTTCTTTCCATGCCCTGCACAGCAAGCAGGAGACTCCCAGAGGTGAGGAGCACCTTCAAGGCAGAGGGCAAGAGCAACCCAGCAGTGCTGAGAGGGGCAGAGGAAGTGTCAGCACTTGATAGCCTTCTGGCCAAACCTCTCAGGATCACCTGTCAAAGGTTCCAAGATCTGCCAGTAGATCCTGATCTACTGGTTGGTGACCACTGCATTATTCTAAGGAACTGTGAGAAGTGCATCCATCATTTGCCTTTTTCCTCACTGAAAGCAGAGAGGAGCTCAGAAGGCCAACTGACTATGTCTGGATTAATAATGTGCATTTGTCCACCAGAGACAAATCTAGACACATGCGTAGATAACATTGACACAAGACAACCTCCATCAGCCTTATTTCATAGTATAGAATAAGCCTTACAGTTCTGTTTTCTGACATTTATTTTGCATTTTTGGAGTATCTTTAAGCCAAGTGTGCTTATAAAATTAAGTAGCACCACTAAAATGTAGTTATCCTCTGCACTAGAGTGGGGCAGGGAAGATTTTTGTCCTTTACTCACATGAAAAACTCCCTGAGATCTCTAAAATTCATATATATACTTTGCTTAGGGATTTGAATATATTGGAAATGTTAAAACTTGGTACTAGAGATGTAAAATCCCAATTAATCAGTTAAACATTAAGATTAACTGATTAAGCAGACTGCTGCTGTCCCCTTCCCCCTGTGGGGGGCCAGCAGCAGAAGCCAGCAGCCATGGGGTGGGGGGGAGATGGCTTCTGCTCCCATACTCCCCTCTCCCCCATGCACAAGGCGCCTGACTCCCGCTGCCATCTCCCTTGCATGGGGGACCAGCATCAGGAGTCAGCAGCCGTGCACATCTTGCTTTGTCTCCTACTTCCTGTGCAGTGGGGGAGGAGGGGGTAGGGCAGCTCCTGACTCCCATGGGACTGCTCCCAGATACTGGTTAACCAGTATCCGGTAAGCATCACCTACGAAGGGTGATGCCTACAGGTAAACTGGTTACCCTTTCACACCCCTAGTATATACTGAAAAATGAATGTTGTGTTTTGATACACTACTGTGGCAGATTCTATATGTATATGTTTGTTTTGATATATAGATCTTTGTCCTACCAAAGAAGTTACCTCAGTGCTAACTTGATTTTTATCGTTGAAGATGAAGCAAGACTCTTCTCGAAATGCTACCTACACTGTGGATTGTGAGGATTATGTGCATGTGGTAGAATTCAATCCATTTGATAGTGGAGACATAGGTTCCCTAATTGCATATGGTGGCAATAATTATGTAGTTATTGGAACTTGCAGATTTCAGGTTAGTATGTTTTTATCAAATATTTTTTTTAATTCCTGATTTTAATGATGAATCAAGAGGCACTGATAAAATAGCATGTTGGAACAAAACCACTTGTGCTTTTTTTATAATGGGTCTGTGTTTAGATTAGGGATATAAAATCCTATTGAATTGGCTAACCAGTTAAGCATTGGTTAACTGATTAAAGGAGGGCAAGCGAGGGAGCAGGGCGCTCCATCCCAGCTGAAACGCTCTCCTTCCCTCCCTCCATCACAGTCAGGGGTTGCACTGTCCCGGATGCCGGAGCAGCCCCTACCTGCAGTGGGCTGGGGCACAGTATAAACTGTATTTACTCATTCATTAGCCTTTCGTTTATAAGTCAACCTCCCAAGATGGTGGATTGGTAAAAATGGCAAAACACTACTACCCTTTCATAAGCCGACCCTGTATTTCAGTGGTTGGCAAAATGCTGGCGTGCTGGGATATTTTGCTTATCTGGAGTATCTTCAAACATAAGAGCCCTGTAGCTCTTCAGTGAATCCGATTCGCCGTTCCCGGCCAATGGTAGCAACAGGAAATGACAGCCAGCATGTCCCTCAGCCCGCATCACTTCTTGCATCTCATTGGCCAGGAATGGTGAATCTCAGTCACTGGGAGTTGAGGAGGTCCAGGCCTCCAGAAATGCCAGGTATAAAAAAATATGCTAACACACTGGCAGCTTACCATGATAGGCCAGGAACTAAAGTTTACTGATCCCTGTTGCAAATCACTGATGATGGAATGTCCGTTCCAGACTCACTTCTTTAAAAAAAAAAAAAAAAAAAAAAGTGCTAAAATTTCATTTTTACTTAAATTGTGTATATATACAATATATTTTGAAGAGTTTGCGGATTTTGTTTGTGTGAAATAAAGTCCCACTTTGCAATTACCTAGAAATACCAAATTTTGCATAAACAATACTGCCACTTAAATTAGCTGAATGCACTACTTTTTACACCAAGATATGCTGGGTGAAAGGTTTAAATATTTATTTTTGTTTTTATCAGAAAAAAGTCATAACTATTATCAGGGCTCAACAAATCAGTGTATCTACTTGCCCATGGCGAGTAGATTTCAGCCGGTTGCCCCCTTCACCAGCGGCGCACACATGCGCAATGCGGGTCTGGCGCATACACAGTGCGGGCCTGGCAAGTGAATTTTGCTGCAGTTTGTCGAGCCCTGACTATTATGATTAGAGTTAATAAAATATTTGCTAACAGAATTAAAATCAAGTTGCCTATTCAACTGTCATTTTAGTGGAAAGAACATTTTTACTGTTACAAATCACAAAATAATTCAAATTAGTTATGGAAAGAGTAATGGAAGCTTTACGGGTTTCTGTTCAAATTTATTATGTATGATAAAATTAATAATGTTTGAAGTTGAAGTCCCACAAATTTAAAACTGTTCTTTTACTTTTATTTTCCTTTTGCAAGCACATTAATAAAAAGTTCTATTATGTATATTTAATTTCTTGAACTTTCCTGTAAGTGTAGCCTATACATATACAAAATGACTTTGCCTGGTCAACGATGGGCCTCACCTACTAGTTAATTTTATAATTGAGATAAAAGAAGCATTTAAAGTTGCAAAGGCTTTGTTTAGTGGAGTAGGTTGGTTTGAAATGAATGCTAAAAGAGCAGTGCTGCAGATCTGAATAAAATTCTGAAGTATTCCTACCAAACATGGAAAAATTCCACAAAATCTATCAAATGGATGGCATGCATGTTTAAAATTCTCACATTGCTTTATCTACATTGACCTTCAGAATTTTACAAGTAGGAACACTTTTATTTAACTTCTAAACATTCTGCATCATTATTGATGGCAAATTGCTGGATAAAACTATAAGACATTGTTTTATGATCCCATAAGTACATAAATAATCAAGTAATACTAATTGTTTTTAAAAGGGGCACAAATTATCTTATAGTGTTAGGTTTCTTTTCAATGTACATGCTTGAAAACCTATGGGGGAGCTTTTTATCCTTGAATCAAATTTCTAAAATCTTTGCGCTTGGCTATATGTGATTGACCATCAAATGCATAAGCAATAATAACAATATATTAAAATTATTTTCTTCAGCTTATAGTAGTTGAACTAGTTCAACAGTTCTTTTTTCTATCAGTTTCCATGATTAACTTGGATACTTTTTATCGCATAGTTCAGGATTTACCTTTATTTCATCTGTTGGATAATAGCAGTTCTCCACACATTTAACAACATTCAGTAATTAACTTGGAAGCAAGTTAGCTTGGAAAACTACTGACCTTATTATACTGCTTTGATTTATTAGGTCTTGTCAAAGGTTCTAATGGACAACATTTGAAAAAAAAATCCTGTATTGCATTCAAAGATCATATGCAGTCCAAACTTTTCCATATCCTTTGGGTAATATGTCTGAAGCCTGTGGAATTACCATCTAAGAGTTACAGTCTCACTCTTTGTGCCTATTTACAGTTTTTACATTTCTGTCTTGAGTCCACTAACAGAGATGTGAATTGCAATGTAGACTTTGTGATATACTTCCTTATTCACTAGAAACTGAACTGAGATCCACCACTCACATATGTATCACAAGTTACTGAATATTATTTTTATTATCATTATTGTTGTTGTTGTGTTGTTTTGTTTTTATTGTAAAATAACCCAGAGTGTGATTTGCCACTGTTTAGGCATATTGAAAAACAGTGTCCCTGCCAGGAGGAACTTATATTATAGAAAAGCAGTCAAATAGTAATTTTTGGTCAGCACAACTCTGGACTTAATTCAGGCTAATCTAGAATTGAAGGGCTTGTTTGGATGATCAATAATAGGATACCATTTTCCCTCTTAACTTATTAACAATCTTTTATGTATTTAGGAGGAGGATGCAGAAGTGGAAGGAATACAGTATGAGACCCTAAGAACATTTCATCATGGGATCAGAGTTGATGCCATAGCATGGAGTCCAGAAACCAGACTGGATGCTTTACCTCCCCAGATAAGGTATTTTTAAAACATTTAAATACAAAAACAACTTTTTTTTGTCTGTCCATCTTTTAATACTTTATACAAAACTAAAGTTAGATTCTTTGAATCCATTTACTTTAGTGGGACCAGGATTTCACCATTTGGCTTCAGTTAATGTTTACTTTTTGCAAAGAATGATTCAGTTGCAAATTAGTCATAATGATTAATATAAAAGTGGGTGTAAATAAAATGTAATTATCCTTGTAGTTTGTCTTAAAAGACTTCTGCTTGGAGTCCTTCAGAATAGGGCATTACACAACAATCGGGTCCACATTAGATCTGGATGAAATATTCTGGCTTGTACTGTAGAATGTCAGGCAAGATTTAAATGTTATTTGTAAAACTACAGACTATGGGGCTGCAGTAAAAGAGCATGAAACCTGGTTTTTACTTTTCTTAAGCCTGAACAAACAAATGCCAAATCTGATATGTTTTTGTTAATACAATTTGTCTATTTTAAACCTCTATTAAAGCACGCTAGAAATTGCTTTATGAACTTACATTAGGCTCTCCTTCAATTGCTATTATAAATGGTTTAACTTCTCCAGCTATTTGACTACCACCAGTAACATTAATGCAAATACTAATTATAACTGACTATTTGCAAAGGTTTCACAGTTGATTCTAGGGATGTTACATTTAGATGAATTGTCTAATCGAATAGTCGGTGTAATTTGCATCCGCTATTCTATTAGTCAATAAGGGCACCTTCGCCTCTGAAGTGTAACAACAGGCTGTTGCTGCACTTCAAAAGTGAAAGTGCTTCAGGGAGCATGGGGCCAGCAGGGGAGTCAAGCAGTTCCCTGCTGGTCCCGTGCTCTCTGCAGCATTTCAAAATGGCAGCGCCACATGGAGTTTGAGTCCCCATTCTGTCCCCAGCTGACCCTGGGCTCCATGTGGCGCTGCTGCTTTGAAACACCGCATGCAACCTGGGCCAGCTGGGGATTCCCCACTTTGAACCACTGCTTTGAACCACCCCCTTTAATTCTCCCCCCTTGCTGCCTCTTTTTCATAGAAACAGCAAATGGGGGGGAAGCAATTAGTCAACTAGTATGTCGATTATCCGATAAGTGTTTGCTTATCGGATAGTCAACTAATCGTTCACATCCCTAGTTGATTCATTATGTCACTTATGTGACTGGGCTAATTGGATAGTTTTATTTGAATATAAAGTATCCTTGCTACTTGACATGCAGCTACAATACACTGCATTCCAGTTATCACTGTAAAGACTGTTATTGCCAAAAGGGAATTTTAATATGGAATTATTTCCATTTTCTAGGGCATAATCTGAATTTCCTTCTGCAAAATGAACTGACTCTTTAATTTAATTTGGGATGGAAATTTGGCAGGTGTGAAATGACTGAAGGTTTTTTTCCTCCTGATTATTCTAGATTTTGTACTGCAGCTGCTGATAGAAAGTTAAGACTATTCACTTCAGATCTCCAGGATAAGAATGAATATAAAGTAAGAAAGAAAAATAAATTCTAATAATGGGTACACTTTCAGCTTCTATCAGAATTTAATCTGTGTTATAAAAGCTAGCTAACTATAATTGTACTATACACAAATCTGCTACTATAAGCCACAACACAGAATGCATCCTAATACCTGAAAGCATTTAATCAGCACATTAAAGAAGGAAAGGTGTAACAAGTAATTACAATGTATTGCTATTTTGTACTACTTAATAGAAAAAAAATGACAGCATAACTGAATTTAACAGAACTCTGGAACAGTAAGCAGGTAAATATATATGCTTGGACTAAAATGAGTTGAGGACATACTGTCAACATATGCGCTTGAAGTGGGGTAGTAAAAGTATTCTGTTACATACAGAAAGCTGGGGGCAAAAGTTCATATTAATATTTTTAATATCTAAGCTTTCTTTAGGAAAGTTCTATAAAGGAAAGCATTATCAAGTGAGTATAAATTAGGTATACAGCATTAATGTTTATTTAAGAATGGTTGGAAATCATTAATTTCTGTTTTCATGGCAACTTTTAAGTTTCACATCCTCTAGTCATCAAAATTGAAAGCATTAATACTGAAATCAGTGTTGTCACTTTATACCAGGGGTGGGGAACCTATGGCCTGCAAGCCAGATCTGGCATGTGGCCTACCTTGATCGGCCTGTGAGGCTCAGGACAACCTGTGCCCGTAGTGGGGCAAACCGGCGCTGGCACTCCAACCATGCAGGGACACCGTGGCTGAAACACAAATGCCAGCTCTGAGCCTCACGGCGGGGGCAAGCCCTAAGCCTCTGCTTGGTAGGGGGAGAAAAGGCTTTGCATGCTGCATGTACCCCCCTCTCCCTCCCATTGCTCCCATTGGCTGGGAATCATAGCCAGTGGGAGTGGTGGGGGCAGTGCCTGAAGGGAGCACTTCCCTGTAATGTGTAGCATCACGTGGAGCCACCTGCACTGCCTCACCCCTTCGGGAGCTGTGCCTCATACACACCCCCACCCCCAGAACTGGCCTGCCTAGACGCCACCCTGCTCTTGCACCCCAGCTGCTGCCCATGCCCTGCATCCCCACCCTCAGACCGCTTGTGCAACCCCAGACTACTCCAGCAACTTCCCTCCTGCCCAGATCCTGTACCTCCTAGAGATGTTAAATTTTGATTAATCAATTAATCGAGTAGTCGATGGAATTTCCATTGACTACTCAATTAGTCAATAAGGGGGGTGCTCACTATCCTGCTGCGCCTCTTCCTTTGAAATGTACAAGAGCCGCAGGCAGCTCTTCTACATTTCAAAGGGAGCGGCTCAGCAGTAGGGATGCTTTTGTCTCCCCTCTTCCCCCCACTTGCTGCCTCTCTCTGATAGAGGCAGCAAGAGGGGGGAAGCGACTAGTTGAGTGACGACTTGACTATCCAGTAAGCATAAGCTTATCAGGTAGTCATCTAGTCACTCACATCCCTAGCACCGCGCAACCCCTAACCTGCTCCTGCACCCTATCTTTTGCCCAGAGCCCACATCCTTTCCTCCACCCCTCTCCTGCACTATGCCTCCCATCCAGACTCCACACCATCACCACCCACAGCCCACTTCTGCATTCTACCTTCTGGCCACACCCTCTACCCCCCACTCTTCTGTGGGGCCGGAGCTTGAGAGAAGCGAAATGAGTGTCTTTTTCTTCTTCTCCGTTGGAGTCAACATTTGTGGTGGGATTTTTTTTCTCCTTCTCATGTGCATGTGGCATCCCCCAACTGATTTTTCTGTGGCTTAGTGGCCTCCAACCGAAAAAAGGTTTGCTACACCTGCTTCATACCATAATTTTAGGCAATTCTGACAGATGCATTCTTGGACCAACAGTTGCTTTTTTGTGAAGCTATATGGAAACAAATACTTATATCAAAGAATATTAATAAATACACCATTTTTGTTCCATTTTTATAAGGCCGAGATTGTCAAACTGGGGGGTGTAGAATGTATTCCAGGGGTGGGGGAGTGAGAAGCTGCTGTACCTTAAGAACTTGGTAGACTGGAGAGTGTTCTAGCACCCAATATTGAAGGCAGCACCACTGCCAGTAGCAGTGCAGAAGTAAACAGGTTGGTATTGCCACCAGTAATTCTGTGCTGCTAAAGGCAGTGGTGCCACTTCAAAAGATGGACGCCTGGTCGGCAACTACTACTCTCCAGCCACCCAGCTTTGAAGGTAGTGCCACCACCTGCAGCAGTGACTCATATGTCTGCTTTAGAAACTTGTTTTGTGGAAATTTTATCTACATGTTTTTTAATGCCTATGTAACTTAGGCTCCAAAGCTCATTTTCAAAAAGGACTTAAGCATTTTCAACTTCTTAATATTCTACCTTATATCTTCATGCCTAATAGCATTGCTGCTCCTACACGTATTGTGTAAATAACTACATAAATACATTTTTGTGTTATATTTTTCTTTCATTTTACCCTCCTGTAAGCAAAAAATAACATGAAGTGTGGTGTCCAAGTTGCTGACAGTGCCCACCAAGGGAATCTTATCAGTTTGTGCTAGCGAAAAAAAGTCGAACTTCTGTAAGACACAGCACAGTCCTAAAACATGATAGATGCTCAGGACTTGTTGCACAGCCAGGATCAGACAATCTCATGTTCAGCTGTTGTTTTTTTTAACTTGATATCCCAGTTTCCTAATTATATTTGACTGAAAACTACCTGTTGCATATAGCTGGATGTCAAAATTTAAAGTGGACCTATGGAGGATTTTGATTCAACATAGCAAACATTTTACATGACAAGGGACTACAGAGATACACAAAACATGCAAAAGCGGTTAAAGAATGTGATTAATCTGACTAACTTCTAAGCCATTTTTGTTTTTTTAATTATAAAGCCTTTGTGGGCACATTTTGTTGGGGTTTTTTTTGTTTTTGTTTTTTGTTATATTTTTCCCTATGCCACCCATAAGGGGGAAATTGCAGCAGCCCTTGAGCACAAAGGTGAGGGCAAGGACATTGAATGTAAACTCTAGGCACATACCAAATATTTCTCCCCTGATACTCTTTTTAAACTTTTATATTGAATTTTAGTTAAAAGATCATAAGTGTAGTTAATTACATAAAACTGAATATAAATCAGATTTTGAGGTTGGGTGAGCTGTATCATTTAGAACCCAGACATAGAGTTTGAAGTATATCCAAATTAGTTCATATAGTTGCTAGAGAGAATTAAACTTTGTTTTACTTTGGAAACCCTATATCTAAGACCCCAGTCATGCACAGACTTATTATACATGTGCTTAAAATTAAACATCTGTTTAAGCCTTTGCAAGATTGGAGCCTCATGTATTTGAAAGTATTGATATCTCTTTATAGAACAGTTTTGCATATGGAAGTCCTAAAATGAAGCACTTGTGCAGAATTGACCCTGGAAATGAATCTCTGGCTGTTGTGTATGTGATATGTAGGATTTTTTTAGGCTAGTCCACTAACTTTTTATTAGTAACAGAAGTGGGTTGTTTTTATTCAATTCTGTGCTGCTAAACAACCAGTATCCTGTGTGGATAAATCTTGCTGTTTTGAAATAAAAATATTAAAACCAACCAGTTACCAACGTGGTCTCATAACTAGGGCTGTTAAGAAGCAGGTAATTCACTAATCGTGCAGTTGATAGTAGGGAAGTTAAAGCTGCCAGCTCGCACCAAGTCTAGGAGTTCCCCTAACTATGGCTCAGACCCGGCTTGCGCCAGGTCCGGGAGCTACCCCCACTGCAGCTCTGCAGCTTTAATGTAATAGGAAGCCAGGCTACCTGCCCAGCTCCTACTATATTTTAAATGAAGAGCCCAGCAGGGGTAGGTTACCCGCTGAGGCTCTCCATTTAAATGTGTATAGTCAGTAGCATTAACCGGTAATCTTTTGCTTATCAGTTAATCAACTAATCGATTACTCTGTTACATCCCTACTAATAACATACAAAGGGTGCGCCTACACAGCAGGGCTTAACTCAAAATAAGCTACACAAATTGAGTTTATTTCTAAATTGGGAGTGTCTACACAGCACTTATTTCGAAACAGCTCTCTTCATCCAACTTCCCTTACTCCTTGTACAATGAGGGTTACAGTAGTCAGAGTAAGAAGTCCTCTTGCTTGACAGTATTTCAACATTATTTAGAAATAACTTCCTGCTGTGTAGATGCAGACTAAGTTGTTTCAAAATAACTAGCGTTATTTTGAAATAATGTTGCTGTGTAGACGTACCCAAAGTTAATTCAGGACTAAGTACTCACTGTTGTAATTTTAAGTTTCTACTCCTAACTGTAGAACCCTGACTTCGTTTTAAATATGTATACTTTTCCTATAGCAATTCTCAACTACATTGTAGAAGCCTCTGGAATATTCAGATATTACTGTTTCAGAATTATTATTTTTATAACTTACTAGCAGGCTGTGCCTCATGCTCACTATGCTCGCCTCCCCCCCTCTCTTTGGACACTTTCGCAACCTGCAAGCCTAATGACATTATTCTGTTACCAGGCAGGGGAAACTTTGTTATATCTAGAGAGAAATATGAGAATATTTCTTTGTTCTCATTGACAGATCTTTGATGGCCATTCAGATTACATTAATGATCTGGTGTTTGCCCCTAAAGAAGGTCAAGATATTGCAAGTGTGAGTGATGATCACACCTGCAGGTATGTATTCTGTTTACAATGCAGTTGAAAAGCTAGACTGCCTTAGATGGCTCCATTGAGGAGGGAAGCAA